ACCAAAAACATCATCATAAAGGTGCATTTCTCTCACACAGAAATACATTAAAGTATTTTATCTAGTATGTAAATTTGAGAAAAAAATCATCCCAATAATAAAAGTTTTAAAGAACTGAAAATCCATAAGAAAACATCACTATCTATGATTTTAAGATTTACAAAGAGCAAAGTTAATCAATATGCATGAATTGACAGCTGTATGCAACTACTGAACAAGCTACATTTACAAAGGAAAAACCTGCAAGCAGGAAATAAAAGGGGAATTTTACTATCATATATTCTTGTTGTGAAAAATACCCATTCAGCGACAGTTAAGTATTTTCAAATTTGTGTCAGTTTGTCTGGAAATCATCCCAAAAGTAACTTTGAAAAGGGAAAAGCATCCCAAAAGTAACTTTTGAAAAGGGAGCATGTAAATTCACTTTTTAAAGTGTTAATTGAAAACAAAATGTTACTTATTTTTATTATTATTACTAGCGTGGTCAGAGATGTTGCAAGTGAAACATTTCTTTATGGGGGTTCAGCAAGTGTTTTGTTCATTATGAATTTTTCTCCTAATTTTTCCACAGTCTCTAGCCAGTCTGAAAGTAAAATAAAATCTGTAAATAACTATATCTTCTAATAAGAGCAGATCATGCATCCAAAGTGTGCATTTGGCAACTGCTTTCACAAATGTCTTACTGAAGATGGTAAGTCAATAGTTGTCCACACCAGTAGCCTTTTTCAAAGCATACTAAGCTTCTAAGTAGGTTTCTATCAGATTTTCATAAATCTCCCGTCAAACTCTTTCCAACTTACATTAATTTCAACAGAATTCCGTATGAATTAGATAGCTAACCATCTTGACTACCTGGTCTGCTCACTGGTCTTCTATTTACAGTCTTCAACACCTCAACACCTTTGAAAATATGGTCCTTATTGCCTTTATAAATAGAGATTTTGCCTACTCATTGCCCTCTTCCATGTCTTATATATAAGTGAAATAATAAGCAATCCCAAAGCTCAGGTAACTATTCAGACAAAGATGATTTAATACAGCATTAAATATGCAGCATCAAGCTTGGACCTAACATATTAACTTCATTGACTTTCAGTAACTTTCAGAAATAAAAACCAGTTTCTCGATAACTGAGCAGCTTCAGCAACTCTTCATTTTTCTACTCTCAACCTATTCCATGTCAGATGGATGCAGGAGCGGCCTGCCTACCATTGCTGTGAGGGTTCACTCTCACAGCTGAAAATAATGGCTGGGTTGTTAAAAATAATCTAAAGTAGTTGAAGACTGCTTAAGGCAGTTCTCAATTTTACTGGGATTTAAGCACTTAAGTTCTCTAGGTTTCTCTGAAATGTCTCCTCATTGATGCTCCAAATGAAGAAAACTGCATCCTGATTGAATAAGTGAACCTGTATCATGATCATCTCAATTGAGAATCCAGCTTGGTACCCTTCTGTGGCAGCTTGTTATTTCATACCAACTCCAATTCAATAATAAACTGTCACACTAATTAGGACACATTTATTTAGTTATTATACCATCCTTATGCTCAAATCTTAAAGGGAATTACTGCAAAACTATCAATTGCAAAAAAGGTAATTATTATAAAGTATCAAGACAATAATAAGTAAAGCAAGCAAGCAAGCTTGGAACACAGAGTTTGTCTTGGCAAACAAATTATGTATGCAATAATAATAATAATTAGGTCCTTTTGCTAACATATTGGTAAACAAAAAAGTTTGGGGGGGGGTGTTGGGCTTTTTTTTTTTATTTCTTAGTTTGAGCAATTCATTCATTGTTTAATGAAAAGACCTATAAGTAAACGATGACACAGAGCGAAGGCACTCTAAATGGAAACATACTTGACAAGATTTGAACTGGCTAATTGCATTAAAACAATGCAGGACTTCAGTTCTGCTGTGGTATAAACAGAGGTTCACTACACAAGTTTATTTTACATCATTCCACCCTCAAATGTATATGTAGTACACTCATTAAAGCCAGAAACTAGAAGAACAAAATGTAAGCCTGTAACTGAAATTCTTGTATATCAAAATATATTAGAACCTAGGCTGAGAAGAAAATGAAAAAAAAAACATATAAAGAAATGTGGTGGTTTTTTTGAAATCTATGGCTTAGAACATTTTGGAGATCACCCACAAATATGTCGCTTACAAAACAAAAATGACTGTTACAATCTATTTATAAAGATATTCCCAATCATCACATCTGGATACATGCACACTCATAAAAAACAACAGCTATGGCCCACAGCCAATGAGTTGATACTCTGAAATCTTCTAAACCCCTCAATCAATCAGGGCACTCTGCCCCACACTTTTAATGGTCCTACTTTAATTGCTGCAGCTGGAAATGGTATTGTTTTCCAGAAACAATTATAGAAAATAAACTCTATTGCTGATTCTGAAAAACTGTCAAAGATTTGTATAAAGAACCACTCAAAGCAAATAGTAAATTAGTCTGTGATTTATGCTTAACATAGTAAAATGATCAAAGTCAGATACATATTCTGAAATGTGCAGGGAACCAGAAAATGTACCAAACCCTGCTAATATATGGAATTATCAAAGACCTCCCAAATGACTTAAGTTAATTCAAGCCCCTTGTTCACAATTAGACTGTTATCATGAAATCTGCCATTTGGTTCCTTACTATCACATCTATGCAGAAAAAGTAGCACACACTGGAAAAGAGTTAGATTACTAAACCCTTACATCTTTTCTCTCCCATAAAAAAAAAATAATCTGTTTAAAGAAATGTATTTTCTTTCATGTGAACTTGATGCTGTCTAATTTAATTCTTGATGTTTCTTCCATTGTACAGCGAGGTGTCCTTTGAGGAAGGAAAAACAGCTTGTGTTTTGATAACAAACACAAAAAAAAATAGTTGCATCTCTGCTTTCAAAGAGACAAGCTGTTTTTATTTCCTCTGAAGAAGCTCATTACAATATGATGGACAAAATGTCAGAAATAATTAAGTGCAAAAAGTGATTTTTTTTTTTTTTTTTTTTTTTTTTTTTTTTTTGAGGGATATCAACTATTGGAAATACTGCTGCTTTTCTGCGGGCCTCTCCTCCCCTTCCCCCCAAATTCTTCGTCACTTGACATGAATTTATTACATAATAAATTAAAAGCAAAAGAAAACTAAGGAGAGAAAGTAACATACCATATAAAAATACCATTAACACTTTTTCTTAGTGAAAAGAAAGTTAAAAGAGCTTGCTGTTAGAATAGAGACTGTTGCAAGACAGTGTTCACATGCATACATGCATAAAATCAAACTGTTTGCACTTCATAGAAGGAGCAGAGCTCTCTGAAGCTCAAAAGCCTTTGGACTTTTCTCATTTCATATTGAGGAGGTCGTGCTTCCCCCCACCCCAGGGTCAGTGTTGTAAACATTCAGCCCATCAAGATAAGAAAGTTAAGGCAGATGATATTAATTACCTGTCCTTTCAAGTCATTCCTGTCTCACATCTGGTTTCCTCTTTGTAACATTCATCTAGGCCAATAAAAGCAGGGGAGTGGGGGGAGAATAAAAAAAACACTTCAGCAGCTTTCTTCTTTCCCAGGCTGCTAATGGCACACAAGTCCTTCATTTGCTGCATACACACACTCACTCACACATGGACACACACATGCACACGTGCCGTATGTTAAGTAATCTTTAGCACTAAACAATTAGTTGGTATCCTGCAAACCGTAGTCTATCTGAAAATTGTGAGGTTAGCTCTAGCCATACCACAATACTGGCAGAAATTCATTCTATATCTTTTACTACTTTTCATAGAAATTGCTGATAGCCATTGGACTTTTCAGGCATATTGCAGATGTGTTTCTCAAAGCCTGGCATCAAGACTCTTAAATAGATCAAATATTGGTGCTTTAGTAATTCAACAGCCTTAATAGACCTCACTGGTTGGACATCTTCCCTTCCTTGGTTTTTATGTCAATATATAATCTGTCACTCATACCACACAGATGGCCACTTTTCTACCAGCATCTGTCACTCCTGGACCAGAAGAAAGAACAGCCATTCTTTTTTCCTCAGATCACAACATGTAATGAAATGATCATTTAGCTAAACTGTATAAGCTTATTTTCATCTTTTTTTCAAGTGATATCATAGTCATTTTTGCTGCTGTCTAAACTAAGCCTTTACCACATTAGTTTTGAACAGGAATGCTGCCAGTTCAAAATTTTCTTTTTGTTGCTTCTTATAAACATCACAGAGAATTAAGAATCCTAGGGCAATCCACAAGAAAACTTCTACTTTAAATTACTTTTTAATGGAAGGTATTTTTAAATTTTCCAAAGTTCTTCGACAATCTCAACCATTCTAAAGGATATGTCCTCGTAAGACTGCTCAGTGATACTGGATAGGGGAAGAAAACAAACAAACAAACAAAAATCACACTTAAACCAGACTCTCTGGTGTGGAATCAAGTATGGCTGGAAATGCTACAAGTAGGAGGAAGCATGAACAACAATAAGAAATGTTAATCCACCTCTGCTGGAGCTCATTAAAAAGCTGAGCATTACTTTTTCTTTAATCAAAAATATTTAAATCTTATTTAAATTGTAGTTTACATTTCTAAAACAAAGCCAGATTTTCCTCTTACTGTTATTGAAGTAAATCAGTTTGCAGTTTTAACCTAAAATTAAGTGTTCATATCAAACAAGCAGGTGCTCTCTTTACATGAGATCATGTGCCCATGAACTGTTTCATACTATGTTTTCAATGTCTCACTGTTGAAAGATTTCTGAAAGAATATGACAGATAACTCTATACTGCTTATGCCTACCGTGCAACTCAGAGTCTTGCTCCAGGATAAATAGAAATCAAGTCAATTTTACACATCCGTGTAGATTTTACAAGTCTGTGACTTTAAACATGCATGGAATCCAAAGTCAATGTCTTCAGCCTACCCAATCACAATTAAAAAAAAACCAAAAAGCATCGATTTCATTTCTTTGAAGCTTTACCTGTTTCAAGCTCTTGTCGACACCTCCATTGCCAGCAAATTTACACTGCACATTCAGTTTTAACACAAGGCGGCAATCCATCTTTCCATAAATTGTTGCTGTCGTCATGTCTGCTTGGTGGCCATCCCTCACTACCTGGCCATGAAACTCATCAGCCTCTGTCAGTTCAGTACAGACCTGGAACTTAACACCAGGTCTCTGATGGCACGTCAACAGATCAATAACTTCCAGGAACAGAAGAGAATAGGAGAATTCCAGACCTGACTCTGAGTTATTTGTTTGCCCTGATGTCCTGGAAGAAAAGTTTGTCTATGGAGAAATAGTACCAAAAGCACTGCCCAGCTTTTCCTGCAGTATCTTTGGGAGGAGAAGGTTCTATTTGCTCCAGTATCATCCAATATAATCTGTGGGATTTAGCCTCTGCCTTAAGTGTGGATGAATTTTCACAAAGTATAAATCCTTATCAGTATTCTCTATCTAGGAGTTGATTTTCTACATTTTTCTGCCTCTTTTCTGTCCATTTAGCACCACTAAGATTTGTCCTGAGTTTCAATCCCTATATACTCCCAAAATTATTAGACCCCTTTACAGCATGGAAATCAGAAACTAGTTTGATTTTAATATTTCACTTACCTGAGCCTGGGACAGACTTAGACTCCATATCCTATTTCCTTTACATCCTTTCTGTTCCATCAATAGTGGTATCCATTTTTGCCAGCCACGCTGCAATTGCAATGAAGCCGATCCTCCTCACTAGAAAGTACACCGATACCATCCTGTCTCTTTATTAGGAAGTTCAGGCAGAAAATGATCATTTACTACACAGCTAGGCTCTCACTAATGCAGCCAGTCTACATCAGTTTCAGTTCATAATTTGGAGTGAAAAGCACTATACCTAATGTCCATTCCTTAACCTATCCTGTCTATACATTTCTATTTGCTTTCAAAGTCTCAAACTGTTATTCTATGTAACTTGTTTCCTGTTACTTTTGCAAGCACAAAGCTATTTTCATGTGTTATACAAAAAAAAAATCTAAGGGTCCATTAGCTATATCACATGTACCTGTAAATCTCATGCTAAAGAGAGTTGTGTGTCTGTACTAAAGGACCAATATATACACAAGCTTTTATTTACTAAATGAAAGGATTTGCAATTCCTCTGAACTCTCCTTTCATTTTGCTGCCAAGGACAGACCAGATAAATACTGTGGTGAGATCTGTTTATTGATTAATTTAATTATAGTTATTATCTACAAAGAACACTATATGATAGTAATTCAAAGTCAGATACACAGATATGCAAACAATGTTAATTTCAGCATTGTTTCAATTCAGTCATTTTGTGGATATCAATTTTCATGCTCTATTTAATTACATGCTCACATTCATGCTTTTTTCACAAGAACACTGCCTCATTTAGTGGACAACATTATTTTATTAAAACCTGGTTTATACTGTGGCTAAATGTGTGACAAGAAGCTTATTTCCTGTGTAATTCCTGAACTGCTATGTTTATTTCTAGTGTTCACTATAAAACAATTTTAAAAAAACTTAATCTTCACAGAACATTCCATGATATTATTGGGGAAATAATGCTGCCAGTCACACCTGCACCAGCTAATTGATCCCAGCAATAAAAAGAATCATTTCATTCCTATTAGTGCAACACACTCCTACAGAACAGTATAGCATATGAGGTGATATGGAACATGAATTTGCAGCAAGGCAGCCCACAGTAACGGAACATCAGCCAGCCATCAGTAGTACTTATTTTTAACACTGCAATGCTATTAACTACAGAGTCGCCAGAGCAGATTTAACATGTTGTCTCATTCCAATGGGTTGTGGCACCTGAACTGTCCCATTTAGAGCAAGCACAGGTATCTCTACGCACATGGCAATCAGTACAGCAGACATGCCCTTTGATCCACCTCCGCCACAGATTTCTGATGCAGCCTTTAGCAAGGTAGTGCTGCTGTTCTTTTCCTGTCAGTAAACCTGGGACAACAATATTTATGTCCCTTTGGCATTTAAGAATGTGATCCAGAAATTAACCAGTTTGCAAAATATTTTGAACACGGAAGTATGTAAAAAACACCTCTAGGCTATTTTATAAAAACACAACTGCAATTACATTTGTGTGCCCCGATCTAGGCTAGCTAAGGGACTGAAATATTCAGGCCACAGATCGTGAATGTTCCAGAGATTCTGATTTAACACTGCGATAACTTAACTGTGAGCCACAACCAAACCAACCAGCGGCATGATGGCAGTGTATGGTTTTTCTTATCTCTCAGGACATAATGTGATAATTAAGTTAACAGATCCTTAGGAAGTAACACCATAAAATACTAACTAGTCAGGCAATTCTTAGCTTATGCCGGGATTCAGAGACTCAGTACACTGCAAAAGCTGGATGTGAACATTCAGTTATACAGCTCATGTGGTAATAAGGTATTACAGTAATGGTATGTCATCCTTAAACAATACACCTAGTATTGCTCTACCATACACATATATGTTGCCCACTGGTGCTTAACCAGATGCATGCAACAGTTACCTTTCTCTGTTCTGATAGCATGCAAAAATTATGACTTAGAATTCAATTCCCTAATCATAAAAAACTGTCATGTAATCCTTACAGCCAAATTAATTATATTTCAGTCAAAGCTCTTTCAAAATAGTGTCCCTGCTAGTCATACCTCCTTTAAGAATTTTAAAGGCCTGACTACACAGTACGCCTAGTTGTAACCTAGGGAAGTAGTACCCAAGTTCACCTCCTCTGGATGTGCCAGAACAGTGCAAGTTTCCTACACACTGGTGTGCAAGAAAAACCAATTACTGAAACATTTTCTCCAGTGAGAAGTTCATGGGATACCCTGTTACAAGTATTTAAAAGAGAATTTAAATTTACCCACTGACTTAGTAGATGAGATTAACAACTTTGGATTACAATTCTCAGGCCTTAAATCAATTAAATATCTTCAGTATAAAAATGAATGTAGTGAAATCTTACAGGGATGACCAGGAGGTGTGCTGCTACTATGGCAATGAATATCAATTCATATATTTGTTTTTTCTCTCTCAATCAGCATTATATCCATTTGAAGTCTATGTAAGTAGGTAGATGAAACTTTCATTTTTAGTTTGACTCAATCCTGGTTTTGAATTTCCTGATTTGACTTCAGCATATTTGTTGAGTAAGTACTTTGAAGATTATTCTGATGAATTATTAGGCTAAACTCAAAAATTAAAACAAACAATTTTAGGTTTTGACAAATTTTTAAAAAAGCAACAGAGAAATTCTGTTGATGTCAAGTCCTACTTTCATGAAAGAATAAGAAGGCACGAAAGTTAAAGCAACGGATTAACATTTAAGGAATGTTTCTCTCCAGGACATTGCTCACACACGCTGGACTCCTTGTGTTTATAATGATAGATGCAGGTTAGCCCTTTATCTATAGCAAATCACCCACTGAAAGATGGCACTGCATCTGTAGTATGCCTTTAAATGTCTAGCTAGCAAATGTCAAAACTATTTGATCTGGTTTTATAAAATGAACTTCAAGACTTTGAAAGATAGTTTACACTTTGAAAAAGATTAAAAACTTCTGTGTTGATCTCAAGTAATAGAAAGAGTACATTCACATGCTTCAGGGAAAAGGAGGTGCACAGCAGTATGAACATATAAAACCAAGCAAGCCATCTAACGTTTTCCGGCACAAATTTAAGACAGACGTGGGCAACTTAAATCCTGCTTAACATCTCTTGCTTAGCAACAGGATGTTTGAAAATGCATGGAATATTTAACACTAAGAGCCACGTACCCAGACTGACACAGAAATGAACAAGGAATAAAAAACACTGTCTGCGTTTTCTCTTAGAAAGAGATAGCATTGTCAAATTGCTTAAGTGATTAAAGTTCTTAAGCACCATTTAAAAATAATGTAGGCTGAGCTTTCAGTGTGGCTTCAGAACTCACATGCATAAACCTTTTCTGAAAACATTTATCTCATATTTATTCACCAAATAATGTGGTTCTGTCTTAGTCCACTGCACCAAAATCCTTGCTGAAAGATGATTCTTGGATGAATTGTACCACAGTAGCTACCAGTACACATCCATTCATACTGGACAGTACTGTCTTTGAGAGCAGAAGTAGTAATAGGATGCCAGCAGTAGGGACTAGCACTAGTAACAAGCTTGGGTGTGTAAGCACTTAACGAAAGAAGTAATCTAGAAATTTTCATTTATCTTTCAGAGGAGTAGTTTCTACCTAGCTAAGCTGCCAAAGTATGTGCAACTTTCAACCTTGCCAAATAATTGTATCCCCACTGTAAGCAGCAGTACAACTCCTAGCTTTCCAGTCCACTACCACCAGTGACTTATCTTGAGAAACAACTTCAAGCTTAATAACAAAAGGTGAAAATATAGAAGAGAGAGTCTGCAGCCACTCTTCTATGTTAAGGCCCAATTTTAGTTGCTCTGAATATTCTATAATATTAATAAACTGAGCCAGAAGGGCAATGTTGTTGCCTTTCAAGTCCATTACTGTTGGTACCCATAGCAGCCCTGAACAAGGCTGCTCAGCATAGTATCAGTGCTGGTGTTGATTTACACCTCAGCATCTTTTCTTAGCTCAGTGATGTGAGAAAACAGAGTTTGGCCTGTAGATATCATATATGGAGTGACCACATACCAAACAGCAGAGGACAAACGACATAGCCTCTTCTAATTTTACTGACATCAGTAAAACTATGCTAATTTACATAAACAAATCATCTGGGCCTACAATTACAAGGTGACTCATGTAGCTAAGGACTTTAAACCTGTACCTCCAAAGCCAACACATTTAAGGTGTAACCTCTCCAGTGGCTTCCAGTGTATTTGAGAACAACATGGAAACAGTCTTGGGTGAACTAGGCACAGATAGTTACACTACGTCTGCATTACCAAGACACTGTGACATACAGAGGATGAATAATAAAAAAAAATAATCATGTAGCATACTGCTTGATTATTAAATGAAAAAATCTCTCCACAATATACAATAGCCAAGAAGGAAAGAAACAGATAATGACTTGAAACAAAATGTACAGTTTGAAGACCTGACACCTATCTGATGTCACTTAATAGCTTTCATACCTATGCTGTTTATGCATGTAAAGACCTATTGCTTCTCTAAATAACTGTAGATAAATATGTGCATATTTATTTTATGTGCACTTCCTCTTGTTATCTGCCTCCAAAACAAAGATTTGCTGTAACAGCTTGGAAATTCCTAGAAAGTTTCTCAATCCAGTAATTCCCGGAAAACACAAAGATTCCTGGAAAGCACTAAAAATATTCTCCAAGTTCACAAAAAAAACCCCACCTTACAGTAGAAAGCACTGACTTCCAGGAATTCCTAGAAAGCATGGAAAAATGCCTAGAAAGACTCTCAATCCAGGAATTCCCAGAAAGCTCTCAGATTTCTAGAAATAACTCAGAAATTCCTAGAATGCTTTTATATCCAGAAATTTCTAGGATGCACTGGAAAATTCCTATGAGCTAGGAATTTCTATGCCCTGTCACAGGACACATCAAAAGAGCGGGAATATTCTTGCGAGTCTCCACGTGGTAGAAGAGTGCATGCCACAGACGTTGCACAAGAAACCTTGAGAGCCAGTATCCACCACTTAGAATAAGACAACTAAGAGGGCTCTCTGGTTAGTTTAATACTTGTGAAGCTTGATGAGCTGTCATGAATAGACACATTTGGGGAGCACAAATTAA